AAGAGACAGACTATCTGCCGCTGTCGACGGGGCTGCGCGCGCTCGCGAAGATCGAGAATGTTCTGAAGCGCACACCAGACTATGGCGCCTTCCAGAAGTTTGTTAGACGGCTTATTGGTAAGTTCTCTTCGTTTTATATCGAATCGTTTCTTTTTCCGATAAGATCTTCCCCCTCTTTCTTGTAACGAATTGTACTTGAATTTCTAAATGCCCAATATATTATCAAATACTAGTTGTTGCTCGTGACTTTTACCGCGAGAAACTCGATAATAACCTAGCTTTTTAATGGTGCAAGAATTTTAGAAAATGGTCCAATAGTTTTTGACTTATTGCAATACATACAAAAATACAAAAAATAGAAAAATACAAACCTTTCCCTTAATAATATTAGTATAAATGAACAAATTTTATGCGTGGTTTACACTTGACCAGTTGGTTAGTTGAGACAACCAGTCAAAGTCAATATAGACTTATAGGTGTTAGCGTTCACACTATGCCAGTTAATTTACAGTCCAGTTATTGATCGTTACTGGCCAACTGGCTAAGTGTGGACCGAGGATTGTGGATTTTGGTTGATATTTAGATAGTTTTAATAGGGTAATTTAGGGTATATTTTAGTAGGGTAGTCGGATGTTTTTTCTTTGTGTAGTGTGTATTGTATTATTACCAGGTGAGACGTATACCCGCTCTGGAGGTCTGTCCACCGGCAGGATCCTCAATGAAGATGACCTCATCAGCGTCAAGATGCAGGTAAGAACATAAAATTGGTATTTTGTGATGATATCTTTTCAGTTTTCTCTTATTAAATCACTAGTTTCCGCTCGTATATCATTTGCAAATGCCAATTTAAATGCACAAATAACAACGCCTTTGCCATTGGATAATAACTTACCTTGGCAATATTGATTCTTGTTGATCTTGGCTTGTATTATTGTCCCTTTCTCTCATGACATTTTTTGCTTATTTATTCATCATCTAAGTAAAAATGAATCATATGAAAAGATATAGCCTTTAGTGAGGACTTTTTATTAAAAAAAAATATTATTCAAAATTATTGTATAATAGCTTTCGTCCGCGACTCAGCAGTTTAGGATAACTCTAACAAACATCCAACTAAAGTCTCGTATTTATATTAGTAAGATAATATACATAGGTGTAAAGTTTGTATGTATGTAGAACCTCCATACATGTGCAGGTGACGACGAGCAGCTGGGCGTGCCGCATGAAGGTGCCGGGCTGCGAGGAGAACGCCATCGCGCTCTTCCAGCGCTGGATGGACTCCCCCAACCCCGACGAGAACAACCCGTCAGTTCACCCCACACACTATTTATATTATTTACTTATTTCATTAACGATTTACTCTGTAACTTTTTGATTTAATACCTAGTCCACACTTGGCTAATACAGTTGGATATTAGCGCAGGCCAGTTGACGCTAGACTAATTGTTGAACACGACTATATAGTGGGGCAGTTACAGTTACAACTGTGCTAGGCGTAATTCTATGTTGTGACATTACTTTTTAAGTTACTTTGAATTACCGTCAATTACTAAGGGTTAAAGTTTTTTAAAATAATAAGGCGTTACGTATGATAGTCAATGGAA